AGAGAGAGAGAGAGAGAGAGAGAGAGAGAGGTCTGGGTGAGAGAGAGAGAGAAACACAGAGAGAGAGAGAGAGAGAGAGAGAGAGAGAGAGAGACAGAGACAGAGACAGAGAAAGAGACAGAGACAGAGACAGAGAGAGACAGAGAGAGAGAGAGACGAGTGAAAAGAAATTAATTTATTATTTGTTTGTTTCGTCAAAGTATACGGCTACATTCCAAAATTTAAAAGCTGTGACCGGAAGAGCCTTAGCCAAACGTGTTATGTCAAACACAATTTGATTGGGCAAAAATATTCATCTAGCCAATGAACTATAACTTTTCAAAGTAAAAATATCTTGCTTATGAAAGTCACATGATCATATGACAACTACGTCACTCGCCATCTTGTACTAGGAGTCACTTGCTTACTGTCTCATTAGGATTGTACACCTCATTTCTTCATATTATTTTCTAACTAGGAAATACACAGACTCAATCTGAAAATGGTCGATTACGATATGGATGCTCCTCCTTATGCTCCATTTTTTGGAGTAATGGGTGTCACGGCGGCTATGTCTTTTTGCGGTGAGTTTCACACGTAGAATAGGATAATGAAATTATGATGGCTTTACTACTCTGACTCTGGCCCTGGAGTTGGAGAGAAATAATGAATGTGTCGAACTATTCTTCAGTCTAATTTTGCCACCATTCGTAGGCCTATGCGATGGCATTTTTACGTTTTCTCTGTAGCCTAGATCTAAATGTCACTAATAAATTGTGTCCATTTACATTTTCAGGGTCTCAGCACTTGCTACTCCTACTCCAACACGACTCGCCAGCTCGGCCAGGCCAAATCTTAAACTTGAATAGTATAGATCCGTCTCTCCTCAGTCCCACTCACATGTTGTAGCTCTGGAATGAAAGCAGTAGCCTACACCACAGTAGTGTGTAGGTCTATTTGAATAAACAAAATAGGTTTATGATACTTTCATTACCACAAAAACAAAAGCTGTCTGACAACTTGACGACTAGAATCTAGGTGCATGTAGTAGTGATGTAGGATGATGTCAGCTTAGGCTTAGGCTAGACTCTACGACAATGGTAGATTTTTTATTTTGAGATGGTCATTTGTTTCGTAGTCCATAGCTAGAGCCCCACTTTCTTAACCTTTTTTTCAGGCTAGAGAAAGAGTTAGAATAACTTCACAAGAAGTCATGAATGAATGTATGTGTCATGTGTTGTCGGACGATCAAATGGTTTCTCATTGACATCGCCATCTGAAATCTTTCCCGTCCACTGTACTACCAAGTCAAAGTTATCATATTTTTAAAGAAGTATAAAACAAGAAAAGTAAAATTACTTATTTAGTAATGAAAGTGACTATTCTCACCCGGGGTGAGAATAGAAATACGATCGACCTCTCACCCCAGGTGAGACTTGCCAACGTTGGCTATTCTCACCCGGTGTGAAACAAGACCTGTTTTTCCTAATTTCGGAATACTTTCTATCAGTGTAGATGATCAAATGGATAAAAGCAAAGAAAAAATTACGTTATAGCACAAAAGTAAGCTAATTTGATCGTCTACAAAGATGCTATGGCTATTTCACTTTTCGAATCGAGCCGAACTACGCGGGTCGCCATTTTCTTTTGCCGGAAGTTCTCGCAAGATCTACTCTTCTCTCTCTCTGTCTCTTTCTGAATACTATCGGTGGGGACGATCAAATTGACCAAAACAAAGTTAAAAAATGATTTAAACATAAAAATAAAAGTAAATTAATTTGGCTTTGTCGTCTACTATAAGATGCTACGGCTATTTAACCTTTCGAATCGAGCCGAACTACCACTACGCGGGTCGCCATTTTGTTTTGCCCGGAAGTTCTCGCGCTACTCCTCTCTCTCTCTCTCTCTCTCTCTCTCTCTC